ATAGCATAAACACATTCCAAAATGTAAGCTCCAAAGTGACCATTATATAGGATTCTCTGATTTTTTCACAAAATATAACGCAAATATGCCAAAACTATTTTTCTTTCAGGGATCATTCATTGTTGTCAAAATAATAATATTATTCTTTTTTCCCCCAGTTATTTTTTAGAAATAGGTTAAAATAGAATCCACGGGTGTTTTGTCCTACCTTAAGCTCTTTCTGAAAATGATTACCTGGTCGTCTTGTGCAATGAAAATCCAGGAACATTGAACATCATTGGGGTACAGTTCTCCAGTCTCCATCCCAGGGGACTGAACAACATGTCTTCCTAGAGAGGAGAAAACTTTATCTACCCCCAGGCACTCCATTGGGAGACTGGGGGAGGGTGGAACTGTTACTGTGGATGGAGAACTTTTAACTGTTGTTTTGGAACTTGAAATATCCGCAGATGTAGAAGACCTTTGTGTCCATGATGTCCTTACTGCAACTGTCGTGGAACTTGTTGAAAATGATGATAGAGGTGAAGAAGAAGATGGCATATTTTTGTGTATGGTACTTGCTTTTACATGTAGAGCGTCGGTCGCCAGTGTGGACGATTGCTGTTTCGTTATCCATGTTTCAGTAGTTCCGTTGTAAGTTTTGGCAGTTGTGCTTTTGATTTGATTTACTGCAGTTGTGTGTGCCGTTGATGATTTTAATATGGTTGTTAAAAATGAAGATGTTTTAGGTAACTTTGTTGTCGGTATGGAAGACGTCTGTGTTATTTTTGTTGGTACTGTAAGTATTCTCAATGGTAGCGTAATAACGGTTTTAGAGTTTGTTGACATCGGAGATGCTAAGGTCGTTGTTGATTTTGCTGTTTCTTTTGTTACTGGATTTTGATCTTTTGTTGGTGTTGTTGTGGATAAAAATGTATTTGTCAATGGAATTTTTGATGACTTTAATGTCAGTTGAGTAGCTGGTGATGCAATCGTTGTTGCTCTTGACGTTGTTGCTGATGATGTCAATTTGTCGTCAGCTGATACAGTAGATGAGGTAGATAACAATTCAGTCGTAATTTGTTTCGAGTCGGAGGTAGAGGTTGTTGAGGTAAATACGTCTTGTACAGCAGTGTCGCCGGTTTTTGTCACTGGAAGAGTATGTACATTTTGAGTAGTAAATATATCTGAGGGTTTTGTGGGTGAAGAAGTTAACACCTTTTGTGTGGTCAAGATATCTCCATGTGTTGTGGTTAGTGGGGTCTGTGTATTCTGAGTGGTCATTATAGCCCCAGGTGTTGTTGACTGTACATTTTTAGTGGTCAAGATGGTCGAAGGTGTTGTTTGTACATTTTGAGTAGTCGAGATAGTCGAAGGTATTGTTTGTACATTTTGGGTGGTCAAAATATCCTCCGAGGTTGTGGTTTCAGAAGACTCTATGGGATGAGTGGTCAAAATCTTAGGCATTGTGCTGATGGGTTCTAAACAGTACAAGAAACATGACAGATTACAATTTCATCAGCAAATGAAGGACTAGACAAAGTAATATTGACTTTTATTTTTGTTTTTTATGTGCACTCATTTGTTACTCACCATTTTCTATTACAATTTTAAAGCCAGCAGCTGGGATGATAATGTCCGAGTGAAACTCAATATAAACCGAGTCTGAGGTAGAGAGGTAGACGTTTGATTGGTGGATTCCACATAAGGATAACATAACAGGTGACGTGTGTGAAGGACCATCATGAACAACGAGTCTGTCGTACAGACATTGGGGATGATACTCCAGCTCCAAAGTAAGGAGATGGATCTTTAAAGTCTGACAAAATATATTTTTTATTTGCAAGTACTCGTAATAAAATTGTTTCTTTTGTTTAAAGACTGTACATTTGATACTGAAGATAAATCGGATCTGCCTTTTTAAAAATATTAATTTTCTAAGGGTTATGTAATTTAACATGCTTAATGTAAAATTTTCTTACATTATTTTTGGTTGCTGTTATGGAAACTGAACAATGCTTGTTCACTGGATACTTGCTGCCTGTCCGAAATCCAGGAGTAAACAGTTCCAACTTTTCTTTCAGTTTTAAATCAAGATGATAAATATTTGTCAAACACATTTCTATATTTTTGCTGGTCAGTGTACCAGAACTGCCACCGACATTGGCTGAAGAATCACCGGGTGAAGAAGTATTGCTTTCTTTTGTAGGTGGAGGTGATGATGAAGATGATACTGTAGACGATGTGAAAGGAAGTGACGTAGTAGGTAAAGGAAATGTTGTTATGTTTGTATTACTTGTTGAAGTGGAGATACCACTTGAACTGTTTTTTGATTTTTCTGCAATACAGAACAAAACTTTTGTTTATGATATAGTTATAACAAAAGTCATGAGGATATTTTAAACAAGAGGCCCATGGGCCACATCGCTCACCTGAGCACTGTGGCTAGGAAAAAGTAGAAATTGGTTTATTATTGAAAAGTTTAAATCCAAAAGTAGTCACATGACCAATCATGGTTTTG